GGCAGAGCTCTGTAACTGTGTCTGACCCTTGTCTGTGCCACTGTGCAGGTGGCCAGGGGGACTTTCCCCAGCTGTGTGCAGAGGAATCCACATCAGCCCAGGCCGGGCTGGGCAGTGGCCGCTCAGTTCCATGGACTGGACGCGGCTCTGGACGCTTCCCTTGGAGCGTCTGCAGGGAGGGAACGCTGGGGCTGTCACCGCTGGGGTGTCACACACAGGGGAACGCTGGGGCTATCACCGCTCCTGCCCTGTCCCCAACAGCTCTGCCAGCACCTCAAAGGCTGAGCCAAAGGGTGACAATTGCAGAAGGGGCTGAGCTGGCAGGGGCCCATTGGGATCACCAAGTCCAGCCCCCGGCCCTGCACAGACCCCCAACAATCGCAGCCTGTGCAGCCCTGGGAGCGGTGTCCAAAGGCCTCTGGAGCTCCGGCAGCCTCGGGGCTGTGCCCATTCCCTGGGGAGCCTGGGCAGTGCCCGAGCCCCCTCTGGGGGAAGAAGCTTCTGCTGATCTCCAGCCCAGCCCTGCCCCGGCCCAGCTCCAGCTGTTCCCTCGGGTCCTGTCCCTGCTCACCTGGGCAGAGATCAGAGCTTGCCCAGAGAAGCTGTCATCTGCAGATTTACTAATGAAAGACTCAATGCCCTCATCCATGCCATCAATAAAAACACTGACCAGAGCTGGCCCCAGCACAGAGCCCTGAGGGACAGCACTGGTGCCTGGCCCCAGCTGGATGCAGCACCGCTCAGCAGCACTCTCTGGGCCGGCCATGCAGCCAGTTCTGAACCCAGCACAGAGTGCTCCTGTCCCAGCCCTGGGCTGCAGCTTTTCCAGGAGTGTGCTGTGGGAGACAGTGCCAAAGGCCTTGCTGGAGTCCAAACAGACACATCCACAGCCCTTCCTGCATCCACCAGGAGGGTCAGCTGGTCATAAAAGGAGACCAGGTTGGTGAAACACGACCTACCCCTCCTGAACCCCTGCTGGCTGGGTCTGATACCCTGGCCATGCTGTGAGTGCTGGGTGATGACACTCAGTAGAAACTGTTCCATTTCCTCACTGTGTACTGAGGTCAGGCTGACTGGCCTGTAATTACCAGGATCCTCCTTCCCACCCTTGTTGTGAATGGGTGTCACACTGGGCAGCTTCCAGTCATCTGGAACCTCCCCAGTGAGCCAGGACTGCTGGTAAATGATGGAGAGCAGCTTGGCAAGCTCATCTGCCAGCTCCCTTATCACCCTGGGGTGGATCCCATCAGGTCCCATGGATTTATGAACATCCAAGCAGCTCAAGTTTTCTGACTGCCTCCTCCTGGATAATGAGTGGACCATTCTGCTCCCTGATACCATCGACCAGCCCAGGAGGGCAGTTTTCTGGAAGGCAAGTCGTCTTCCCATTAAGACTGAGGCAAAGAAGGTGTTAAGCACTTCTGCCTTCTCCTCATCTGCAGTTACTAAGTTCTCTCCCTCATCTAATAGAGAACAAAGGTTGGTCTTACCCTTCCTTTTACCGTTGATATATTTGGAAAAACATTTTTTATTAACCCTTACAAATTTGCCAAATTGAGTATGTACTTAGCTTTGGTCTCCCTAATTTTTTTCCTACATGCCCCAGCAACCCCCTTAAACACTTACTGAGAGACCTGACCATCCTTCCAAAGGTGATACATCCTATTTTTATTCTTAACTTCCTTCAAATCCCCCTTGTGCATCCAGGCTGGACGTTTGCCACATCGCCTCATCTTTCAGAACACAGGAACAGTCTGTTCCTCTGCCCTCATGGTCTCTGTTTTGAAGCATGCCCACTTTTCCTGAGTGCCTTTGCTTTTAAGGGCTGCTTCCCAAGGAACTCTCTGAATAAGTCTCCTAAGAAGCCAAAGTCTCCAGAAGTCCAGTGGAAGAGTCTTATTTAGGTTCTTCCTCATTTCACCAAATATCAAGAACTCTGTAATTTCATGAACACTCTGCCCCAAGTGGCCTCCAACCACCACATCTCCCACCAGCCCATCTGTATTTGCAAGTGACAAGATCTAACACAATCCCTCCCTTGGTGGGCTCACTCACCAGCTGTGACAAAAAGTTGTCCTCCACACACTCTAAAAAAAACTTTTTGACCAAATTAATGCTGCTAAGATGGACTTGGACGATTCCAGCAGATGGAATAATGCAATTATACAACCCTTCCTGTTCTAAATGACCTCTGAGCTCATCCAGTCCAGCCATTCACCCAGCAGTGCCAAGCCCAGCACTAATCCACATCCCTGAGGTCCCAAGGCCTGGACAACAGGCCCTGAGTGAGGCCTAAACAACAGGCCCTGAACCAAAGGTGACAGCTAGATCTTTGTATCTGCTCATTAGAGAAATATTCATGGTCATTAGAGCTGTAATAGATATATCCACTCATTAGTGAAACATGTATTGACCTTCCTGTATTTAGAAGCCAGACAAGAGGGCTGAGGAAATTCCTTGGACACACAAGCCAGGGAAACCACTTGTTTTTATTTAAATGCCAAAGGAACAAGCCTCTTGCAAATCTTTCTGTTTCAAAAGAAAGGTAGATATTAATGTAGAAATGCTAAAAGTAATACTACAGAATTTTGTGAGAAACATTACAACAATACAAGTAGTCCCCATAATAAGAAATAGACAAATAGGGGGGGAAAGGCTGAGATTGTAAAGAGTTACATTCTGAAGGCTGTGCAACAGAAATGAGAATTTATTGCTTCTGAAGATACAGTCCCCAGTTTTCCCAGGGTATCCTTGAGCTCCTGGTTCCTCAGGCTGTAGATGAGGGGGTTCAGGGCTGGAGGCACCACTGAGTACAGAACTGACAGTGACATATCCAGGGATGGGAAGGAGATGGAGGGGGGCTTCAGGTATGCTAAAAACCCAGTGCTGAGGAACAGGGAGACCACAGCCAGGTGAGAGAGGCAGGTGGAAAAGGCTTTGTGCCGGCCCTGCTCAGAGGGGATCCTCAGCACAGCCCTGAAGATCTGCGCATAGGAGAAAACAATGAACACAAAACAGCCAAATGCTAAGATGGTAGTGAAAACAGAAACTCCAAATTCCCTGAGGTAGGATTTGGAGCAGGAGAGCTTGAGGATGTGTGGGATTTCACAGAAGAACTGGCCCAGGGCATTGCCCTGGCACAGGGGCAGGGAAAATGCATTGGCTGTGAGCAGTAGAGCAGTGAGAAAGGCACTGGCCCAGGCAGCTCCTGCCATGTGGGCACAAGCTCTGCTGCCCAGGAGGGTCCCGTAGTGCAGGGGTTTGCAGATGGACACGTAGCGGTCGTAGCACATGATGGTCAGGAGGAAGAATTCTGCTGAAATGAAAAATACAAAGAGAAAGAGCTGTGCAGCACATCCTGTGTAGGAGATGTCCCTGGTGTCCCAGAGGGAATTGTGCATGGCTTTGGGGACAGTGGTGCAGATGGAGCCCAGGTCGCTGAGGGCCAGGTTGAGCAGGAAGAAGAACATGGGCGTGTGCAGGTGCTGGCCGCAGGCTATGGCGCTGATGATGAGGCCGTTGCCCAGGAGGGCAGCCAGGGAGATGCCCAGCAAGAGGCAGAAGTGCAGGAGCTGCAGCTGCCACGTGTCTGCCACTGCCAGCAGGAGGAAGTGGCTGATGGAGCTGCTGTTGGACATTTGCTGCTTTGGGGTATGGGTATTTATAGAGGATTAAAACCTGTCTGGGAAGGAAATGGCAGTGTCAGATTGGACATTTCTTCATTCTGGGAATCATGGTCTGTTGAAAGAAGACATTGACAAACTGGCACCAACTTCTTGCCTTCTTGCAGTCAATCCTATGGTGGTTTTTTTTTTTTTTTTTTTAATTCCCTCAAAATTATTACTCTTCCTATGAGGGAACTTTCCTAACCTTTTTTTGAGTTCAGGTTTGTGTTTTTGAGTTACTGCCTCGTCTTCAGCATGGTTGTCAGCCTGAACACTGGGGAGCCTAGAGGGAAAACAGGGCTCCCTGTACCCCATTGCAGTGAGACCTGCTGGAACCACACAGATGCCCTTTCCTCATTACACCTCCCTGTTGTTCAGGGTGATCCAACTTAAAACATGCATGAAAAATAAAGTGGACATCTTGAAGTCTTCAGTTTCAAAGTCAACTTCTCTAAAAACTTCTTTCTTTCCCTGTGCACCTCAACAGGAAGGGACACAAAGGGTTGGTCTGGCTCTCTGCTGCCTGGAGTTGTGCCTACTGGGAGAACTTTTTCTCTCTCACTGTTTCTCTCTATCCAAGCCTTGTCCCTGCCAGTGCTGCCAGAGCCCAGCCCAGCCCTGGCGGCTCAGCTCTGCCCTGCAGACCCCTCCCAGCACAGGGCACTGCCCAGGGGCATCTCTCTGGCAGCAGGGCCTTAAGGGCAGGGCAGACAAACAGAGATGCTGCAAGCCAAGGTGCTGCTGCTGCTGTCTGTAGGGAGAGGAGGCTGAGGAGGCACTTTCTGAGGGAGACCTGAGGCACATCTGCTGATGGCCAGGCTGACAGTGCAGGAGTCTCAGTGACACAGCCAAAGCTGACAGCCCCTTTCCCTTGCCTTCAGGAGAAAGCTGAGAGCAGCCCTCGCCATGCAGCACCATCTCCACAGCAGAAGGAATCTGCCCTGATGGGGGTCGCTCCTTCCACCTCCAACTTCTCCCCTGCAGCGTCCATGGGGAGCTGCCAGGCAGGCTGAGAGCTGCCCCGGGCAGGTGGCACATCCCCTGGGCTGGCCAAGAGCCCTGAGGGCTGCAGGACCTGCTCTGCAGGACAGCCCTGGGCAGCCCTGGCTGCAGCCCCAGCTTCACCCCCTGCAGCCGTCCCTGGCAGCAGGAGCCGTCCTGCCCTGTCCCTCTGAGGGTGCCCAGGGCAGCCCCGCTCTGCAGCACATCCTCCTCCTCCTCCTCCTGCTCCTCTGCCACAGAGAAACTGGGAGAGTCCTCCTGGCACATCCCCCAGGCTGTGGGGTGTGCCAGCTTCAGGAGATCCCTCCAGGAGCACAGGAGACATTTCCCTGCATCCACAGACTCACCATATAGAGAGCTGTGAAGGTCTTTCCCCAAGTGAAGTCTCAGCTCAATGTCTTCCCAATCCTGATTGCTTTCAGCCTGTCTCTGCCTGGCTCCTGTCCCCTCAGTGCCTGCAGGCAGAGCCCTCAGCCCTGCTGGGCTGGGAGAGGAGCTGGGCCTGGGAAGAGCTGTTCCTTTAAAGCTCAGCAGCACAGACACAGCACAAGGACGTTAATGACCCTCCTGGGACGTTGGTGTTGTTTACATCAGACTCAGTCCCTGAGAGAGTCTTCA